CTGGCACCACACCAGAGCACCACGAGTGCTCGTAAAGCTGTGCCAGGGGTCCCACAATGACCTCAGCTAATTCCCTCAGCACTCTGGGGTGGAGATCATCTGGACCAGCTGATTTAAATATATCCAGTCCATCCAGAAGTTCCCTGACTAGATCCTCAGTGATCCCTTGGCATAGGTGGGCCTCCCCTGGGGCCTGATCTGGTCCCCACTCAGGAAAATGGATGCAAAGAAGTCATTATATAGGTTAGCTTTGTCATCTGGTGTGACGACCAAATTTCCTAGCATGTCTTGCAGGGGCTCCATGTTACCCAGTACCTTCTTTTTGCCCCCTACGTATTTAAAAAAGGACTTCTTGTTGTCCTAGCCCCAATTCCATCTCTGCCTTGGCTTTCCTGACTGCCCCCCTGCATCCCCAAGCAATTGAGGCATAGTCCTCCCTGGTGATGACCCCTCCCTTCCATTGGATGTACACCTCCCTTTTGGCCAGGAGACAGTCTCAGATGCTTTTGGTGAGCCATGGGGGCTGTCTCCTGGCCCCTGCAAATTGGAATGGGTCCTGATGTGCACAGGCCTGGGAGATCTGTGCCAGCTGTAGGGGCTGGCACAGAACAGCTCTTCTGGCCCTGCACACATTGGGTTCTGATCTCCACATGGCTGGGAAGCAGCTCTCCGGCACCCAAAACAGCTCTCCCTGCCCTCTGAGGATCAGGATGGGTCCCAATCTCCATATGGCTGGCAGGCAGCATCTTGCCAATCTGGGACAGCTTCCCTGCCTCCTGTTTCCCCCTGTTGCCTAGGCTGACCAGAAGCAATTTCCTCCCAGTCATTGTCTATATGTGCACTTTGGTACATTAGTTTAGTGTATCAATTTCTAGTACCTGTATGTATAGGCGACGTATAAGGGGAGGCATACCCGGGGGGGGGGTAGGAAACACATGGATCCCCTGAGTTGGGCTGCCACCTGTGTCTGCAAGCAGTTGCCACTCACCATCTGCCCCCCCTCACCACTAACACTGCTGCCGGTGTCTGTAGGCAGTTCCTGCTCTCTGCTACCAATACTGGCATCTGCTGGTGGTCTCCGCTCACTGACACTAACACCAGCATCTGCAGGCAGTGTCCGCACACCACTTACTGCCATGGTCCCCCACCCCCCCCAGTCTCAGGTGGCACCAGTCATTCATGCCTGTATCTACAGGTACTAGAAAAGGGCACATTAGACTAATATACTGTACAGTAATTGCTGTGCATGTGTAGATGGTGATGCTTTACTGCACATTAGATGAGTCTAATGCGTAGAAAAGTGTCTTGTGTAGACACACCCACTGATTCATTTTCAGGAATGAAAGACATTTCATGGAAAAGCACTGAGAAACATCCTATTTGTAACTAATTTAGCTTACCTATCATATGTAGTTTATTTTCATTATGAATATTGGCATAAAACCAACAATGTAGAGTAAAATTCACCATTTGTATAAACCAGTGTAGCTCCATTGTCTACTCTGAAATTGCTCTTGCCAATTCCTGTAGTGAATTTGGTTCTTACTTTTCAGAGTTCCCTGATCTTTGCAAGCTAAGCAGAACGCAGTGACACTTCTGAGTTATTTTGGGAACAATGCCCTGATTTGGTGACTTGCTATGGAGTGTCTGTCATTTGGATGGGACATAACACCAGTCATGACCATGTGTCATTTTAAGTTTTCATGAATGTTGTCTAAGAGTAGAGATGTTAACTCTCATAACCAAGCCAAAATCCAGCTTAGGTAATTACAGTTTACCTCTCTAATTTTCCCCTGCCGTTTCAATTGTACACAGTAATTTTTACTTTCTGAAATTGCTGAATAGTGCTACAGTTAAACAGCTGTCACATTTTACACAGGAGT